GGGAGGAAGGACGGGCAGAGCTGCAGGAGGAAGAGCGCTCGCTGGCTGCCTCTAAATTTATCTTTCCTGTCTCTGGGCAGCGGCGCTGCCTCGTGCCCCTGCTCCATGGTGCCGGGTCGCTTCTCTCTTGTCGCTCGCCTGTGTTGTCCTGGCTTTAACGCGTTCTGTCCTTTCCCTGCTTTTTCTTTCAAGTTTTTAATTCTCCAAGCGCTCCCTGGTTGGTTTTCCCCTCCTTCGCCCTGGCTCTGTTCTCACCCCCCTCTGCCGAGGCCGCTGGCTCGGGGCCCTTTCGGCAGGGGCCAGGGGAGCCCGAGGCCGGGTCGGGGGGTGTCTCTGCTGGCACCGTGCCCCCACCCCAGGTCAGGGACGCCTGAGCGCGGATTCCGGCCGTACCCTGCCCGCTGGCGCGGAGCTGGCAGAGGAGGCGGGAGGGTGCCATGCTGGTCCATGCCATGGGCAGCCCAGCCCTGATCGCGCTGGGGAGATGCTGAGCATGGCCAGGCAGATCAGAGGGGGCCAGGACCCGCGCGGCCGGCTGCCGTTGGGAAGGGTTGGTTGTCCTTGCAGGGATGGGTACGGGGGGAGCTGGGTCCCCTTCCCAGCTGGGACGCGTGTCTGTGGGGATGGTGCGACTCCTTCCTCGCAGAGGACTTTGCGCTCTCAGTACCCACCCCTCAGTGAAACAGGGGCACCATAAAATCCCAACTTCAGCATCTCCCGACTCCATGCCAGTTGCAATCTTTCTTTTTCCTCCCTGAACCGTCGGAGCTACCGCTTTCAGGCACCGATCGACCTGCCCTCCCTCCTGTGCCGCGTGGCCTCGCTCCGGAGATGTCGGCATGCTTTCTCCATGGCTATTCCGCACTCAGCGTGGGCGAGGGTCACCCTTCGGCCCCCCCTCGCGTGTCCCCGTGCTGCCAGGCACCGACCAGCTCATTGCGGGTGTCTGCCACTGGTCGGAGGAGCCACCGACCCAGGGCCTGAGCCCATGGGCATGGGTGCCCTCCATAGAAAACCCAACCATCGGCAGGGCTGAAAGAGCCTTTTCCATTGGCGGTGCCAAGCCCTTTTGCCGAATTTCTTCTCGTCCTTCCCCATTTTACGCCTTGGCCGTTCGGTGCGCGCTTGCGAAGCCCGGCAGGGTAATTGCAGAGCTCGTCTGCAGAGAGCGGAGCCTTGATTTACGGGGACTTGAGTGGTTTGGTTTCATTCCATGATTATCAACAGGGGACACATAGAAGCACGTTATTTCAGCAGCTGAATGCTCTGTGTTTATGGGACGCTTTGCTGCACTACAAGCACGCAGGATACAGCAATAATGCGGACCGGGGTGTTCAGGGTGTGAGCCGGCCCCTGGCGCTGCCAGAGCAAAGGCAAAACGCCCGCAGGCAGAACCAGCCTTGTAGATATGTTATAAAATATTTATTAAGATGAGTAAAAAGTCCCACCCCCCCCCCCCCCCCAGTCACGGCCGCTGTTTATCCACTGCGTTTTCCCGTACGTCAGCCGCGGAGATCGTTCGGCACGCATCCCCCCCGGGTGGGTGTTGCATCCTCCCCGGGTGGGTGTTGTGTCCCCCCAGCGCCCGTGCCAGCTCCCGACCCAGGTTTGTCCAGCATCGGCTTTGGCTTCAGGAGGGGAATGGCCGCAGGGCCCTGGGCACCGTGCGGGGCGAGCGAGGCCGTGTCGGTGCCTGAGAGCCCGGCTGGTGTGACACGCGGCAGGCAGCGGTGCCAAACTCTGCTTTGAACCCCATTGGAAAACACAAACGAAGACATGGTCTGGTGTAAAACCTCAGCCTCACTCGGTGCTAGGGGTGCTGGGCGACCGCTCGCGACGTGGCGACACGCACAGAAACGTAACGTCCCCGACGGCCGGGCGCCCCTCCCGGGGACCGCTCCTCCCTCTGCGCGCAGATGTGCCCTCTGATGCATTTCGGCTTGCGGATTTCATAAATCCTGGGTTCATAAATCCCCTGAAGTTGCCTGAAACGTGAGGGGCGGCAGGCATGGAGCCCCTTAGGCAGGCGCCTTTCTGCGGCGATCCCCGTCCTCGCTGGTGCGGCTGAACCGGGTGCAGAAGCCCCCAACTTCCCGCTCTCACCGGCTCTCACGTAGTCCGAAATCACGGATTCAGCCTTCATTTTCTGAAGCGCCCGTCCTGTCGTTGCTGTGCCTTCGTTATCCCTCGTTAGGGCCAAGCCGTGCCTCCTGGCCTGAAGAGGCGTTTTCCATGTCGGTCTCTGGCTTCACCGGCTCCGGTTTTACCCGACGCTGCTTCAGCATTTTCATCCGTGTCGGGCCGGGCTCCATGCGGGAGGGGTTTTCCTTTAATGACAGAAGTTTGGTATTTTGAAACAGACCCTTCATGTTCCTGCAGCGCCGCTGGGGGACTGGGGACAAACTGCCAGCCCGGGCCCTGGCAGGGCGTACGGAGGGTGGTCGTGGTCGGGGCCGGTGTGCGCGCACCGGTGCTGGGAAACCTCTCCCAGCGGGAGCC